TAGTTGTGTCCTGGAAAAAGTCAAATGTTGAAGCTCCAAAAGCAAATAGGAGTATTTTTAGAGATAAGGTCTTGAGGGAAGTAATTTAAATTAAATGTTAGCATCATAGGGGTTGGCCATGATCTGGCTGAATTGTTGCTTTTATGAGAAGAGAAACCAGAAATCTTCTTTTCTCTGTGCAGTGAAATTGTAACACTAAAGAAGGTTTTCACCAGAAACTGACTTTGGAGCCCGCAGAACTGTGGGAAAAGAGATTGCTTGTGTTGTAAGATGACCTCTACAAAGTATTCTGTTTTACAACGCATGATGAGAAATACATGGTATACATTCATCTCAAGACCTTAACTTCATCGTGTCCTTTCCCATAGGAGATACTCATATGTCTCTTTTGAGAGGCAGGAAACCAGCCTGCTAGGAATGCTGAATCGAAGGGGATGAGCGGAGATGGAAGACACAGGGACAATTTTGAAAGAGGGAGCAGGAGGCTCTTGCCTCTAGTGGACAAAGAGCCTTGAGTTGTTTTGCTCACCTTGCTTGTGTTCAGCTTAGGCAAGGGAGCAAGCAATTAGGTTAGAGAACAATCCATCCATCCGTTTCTCCTTATTTGCAAAGTGTACTGAGATAAATACTTCTCTAAACTGATCTCAGCTGTTAACTTTTTCTCTGGAACTTGCAATATGCCGGCATGTTGCCAGAGGAGAATTAGCTTTTTGTTTCCTCCTTTGGGTCCACGGGGAAGGTCTCCCGGGCTCTGTCCTTATCTAGATTCCCACGTTGGGGGACACCAATGTCCACCATTTAGCCTTCTATAACGGTCATGCTTCAGTTTTCTGTAACAGTCATTCGGTTTTCCCAGTGCAAAACAAATGAAGTTTCAATGTTTTTTTGTTTTGTTTTGTTTTGTTTTTTTAACCTCCTTTGATAGAGCAGCAGGCAACAGAGGTCTTGCAAAGTCAGATAAATTGCTCAAAGTCCTCTCTTATTTAAATGCTCATCCTAGCTTGGAATCCAAATTTCTTTGTCACCAAAATATAGACCTTCCCCAAGGGTCAGTTCTCATCCTGTTGTTTATTCAACATATTCAATAAGGCTTCTTTTCTCTCTCTCTTTTTTTTTTACAAAATTCATTTCATTGACAGAAAACACCTGTATAAAATATTATATTCAGTAAGGTTAAGAGCAATCAGTTCTTGAATTAAATAGTATGTTTTAAAAATTTAAATGAACTTAGCTTTTTATGCATTGGTGCTCAAATGGTAAAGTAATATATAATTTCTTCTCAGTGTTAAAAAGTAATTAATATAGATTATTTTAATCCTGAAAGAAAATTGAGATAATTTTAGTATTTAATATAAAAGGTCAAAAGCCAGGCACCTGTGTAATTTAATAGATTATCACAGATGTAGGCTTGGGAAAATTTACAAAAGAGGAAAGGTGTATTAATATTACACTCTGCTTTCTGTGAACTTAATAACGGATGAAGACCCTTTTATCTTGCACCAAACCTTCTAATAGGGGCACCAGAATGAGACAGATAAATAAGCACCACACAAATTTATCAATCTTACAGTTGTATTTGTAGAACTCTATCAGACACCCTAAAATGCAGTAATTCTGGCTCCTAGGTTTTTCCCCTCTTGGTCCCATGGGGTCTCAACTTCCACTGTGTTGAGAATCTCAGCTTAATGATTTGGCCACATGCATCAGCCAGAGTTGTCCAGCATAAAAAACAGTGGGTTTGTCTGTGTTAAATGAAAGGGAATTATTGGTAGAGCTGCAAGAATTCACCGTGTAGAGAGGACTGGTGAGACAAGCCCGGGGCAGACAGAGACAAAAGTTGCTCGCAAAGATTGGGATGTGTGAACCTTGAGGAAAGAACTGGGCAAAAAGAATCCTGCGGTAATGAGCTTGCTCAGCCACTGTAGCCTTCTTAATCTGACCAGGTGAGCTTCAAGGATACAGCTGCTAATCGGCTCATAGCCTGAAGAGAGCAGGCAGTTTGATACATCAAATAGTGCTTACTATGTTTCAAGCCATGGGACAAAATAGTCAGCAAAGACATCAACACCCACCAGGAGAGCAGGAGGGATGAGAAACATTGCCTGAAGAGAAAGAGGGAACTCTCTGAGATCAAGTGCTCTGCTTTTCAGTCTCTGGCCCGAGTTCTAAACACAATTCTGTTACAGAATTATACACAATCACAGTTTATTGACCCATATAGCTGAAAATATATACAACTGGCAAATTTTGGAAAGATTGTTTTCAACCAAGAAGAAGCATCGCCTGTAATACAATTCTTATTTTCTTTTTATCCTAATAAATGTATTGTAGAGAAATGATGAAAAGAAAGGTACGGAGAGTACATTATTGCACAGTGTGTACCTCCATGGCAGAGGCAATGACTAAGGACTCATATTCGCTTCAGTAGCTACCGACCCACTGAATGGCTGACTGTTGGGCTGAACGTTGACAACAGCGGTGAGAACGAAAAGCATTCTGGTGGCAAAAGGGTCAGTGCGCATCACGATATTTTCGGTGTAATGCGAAATGGAGAACCGCCAAACACAGAATAAATACGTCCTGAGTACTGTGATTGTGCTGGTGTATGGTATCCACGCAGGAAAACATTGAGACAGAGAAACAGCATTGAGAAATAATAACACTTATTGCAAGAATCTATGTTTTCTAGTCCCTTTCATGCTGCTATTAAAAGAAATTCATAAGGCAATGTTGAGACTACTTATCCAGGTATCTGATTGCTTGACAGAAACAAAGCACCCTAAAAGTATTCCTTCCCTGTTAGCGTGATTTAATCCTTCCTTTGTGTTTTTTGCAGCCCTGGCTGTTCTTACTGAGACTCCCAGGGGAGACGGGATTCTCCTTTGGTACTCGGGTTTGTTTCTTCCCTCTGTCCTTTGTCACCTGTTTCTTCAAAGCATCTGTTAAGCTGAAGTCGTGGGAAGAAACACGGTGGATGCTCAGGAGATTCTAGCTGGAATAAATAGCTCCTTGACGCTTGTTAAGAGTGATTTTCTTCCTGGCACTGCTACCCGATAGTACCTATCTGATGGCACAGTTGCTTAAAATTCTGTTGAAAATACAGTCGTTCTTTTTACTGGAAACGTGTTTCTTCAGGCTTCTCTGGATCTGTGGAACTCCTTGAATTTCATCAAGCCTAACTTTTAAAGGCTTTAGATATATGATCCGTGCCTGATCTCCGTTAAGTCGTCAACACCGTCACCATTCACTCGGTTGCTTTAGTCGCTTCTTCCCTGGCCTCACAATGCTAATTTGCGTGCTGTTCCGTCCCCACGCTGCTGCTGTATTGTGCTGATCGTGCACAGACGATGCAGAAGTCTTTCTATGAGGTGGAGTTTGCCTCAGTGGTCCCGCAACCTGCCTTGCAAGGGCTGGAGTTCGAACCCCGGTACCCCCCAAAACAGAAAAAATAAGAAGTCTTTTTGCCACATGCATGGCAATCCCTTTTGGCAAATAAATTCAAAAGAAATTTCTGTAGCTCAATTTTGTGGCTCTATGCTTGTCAGCATTTTTCATACTTACTGTTCTCATACTCTGTAAGTCTTCCTGCTAGCAACTGGCACGTGTGTGTGCGTGTGTGCGTGTGTGTGTGTGTGTGTGTGTGTGTGTCTGTTTCCAACGATTTCCTTCACCTGCTGCGTCCTCTCCATTCCTGCTTAGCCGTTCAGAGGTGCATTTCTGAAGATCTTTTCCACCGTTCCTCTTCTTTTTGTACTAAATAGAATTGAGCTTCGTCATTTCACAGGACATAGCAATCAGCTTTTGTTCTCTTGTGCTTGGCATGCGTTAAAGGGATTTGAGTAACAGATTAAACAAACTCTGAGAGGAGGAAAACAGCGCCTGTCTGCTTTGTGCAACCACCAAAGGCATCTCACGCAGAGCAGGTTTGCTCCTTGGCTTAATTTAAATGCTAGTTCCAAGGCTTATTTACAAGAGTTAATAGGATCAGAGAGGAGAAATGTTGTTTTCCCATTATCTTTATTTATTTATTTATTTATTACTCCCAGAGAAGAAACCAGGGGAGGAGCAGAGGTAGGTGCTCTGATTAAAGGATGAAAAGGAATTACAGAGCAAAGGAGAGGCTCATGCCTTCTGGATTTCAGCCAATGAATTTGAAAATAAATATGAAGAAAATTAGGTAAATACCTTGTAGGAAGTAGAATAATTGAAAACCTTGGGAATGTTTTAGATCCTCTGACTAAACTGCACCTTTGCCTTTATCTTTTTGGGCCCCCAGTGGTTAGATACTTCATGTCTTCCTCACCTGTGATGCACTGTGGTCTAAGTTCCACACTCAGGAAGAGAATTCACTGAACTTGCTTTTTGTCTATCAGAAATTCGCCCAAGTAAGCATACATTTGAAAGGAGAATCTTAGACCTATCTACACTGACAGGTACATGAAATTGTTGTGGAGTCTTTCTCTATTAAATGAAGTTCTCTTCAAGCCCAGAATTTGAGAATAACATTGAAGATTCACAGAGATATAAAGCAAAGCTTGGTTGGTGAAGCGACAGTATGAAAATAATTCTATATTAAATTTACAAGGTGGTGTTAAAATCTTTTTGTTGAGACAGTGAGGCGTACATTTGTTTCTCAGATTTCCTAGAGATTTATAAAGAGAAAAGACTGAATTCCTCCCTTTTGAGGGACCAGAATCTTTAAAATAAAATCTTACTATTTCAAAAGTAAATATTTTCAGTGTGACAGGAGTCCCATTAGATATGCCAATGAAAAATTGGATAGAAATTATTGTGTTTAATTTCAAAGCTAAGAATTTTAAGACACAATTTTTAGGATCTCGACATACACAATTTTTTTGTTGTTGTTGTTTCTTTTGTTTTGTGAGCATGACTGCCATTGTATCATGTGTTATCACAGCCAAATGGATATGCTTGTTGAGTGTATTCCTCTGATTTTTAATGATCTCTCTCTCTCTCTCTTTCTCTCCCCCTCCCCTTAGGAAAGTGTTTTGGAAAACAAGGAGCACTCTCAAGTTGATGCAACAAAAGAAAATCCAAGTTCCACTGCATGTGATACTCAAGAAGTAAGACTAACAAAGTGCTTTGAAAGCAGGGCCATAAATGTTTTCACAGTTCTAGTTCCAGCCACCGTGAAACTTGCTACTTGTCTATAATAACTACTATCTAAGTACTGTGATTCTAAGTGTAGGAAACAATGTTCTTCAGTGGGAAACAGGCCTGAATTCTATTAGGGGGCACAACCAGATAGAGCTATGAATAGGGGATCTGGAGGACGTCACTGGTGACCACGGGCTCGACGTTGTCCACATGTCCTTAACCACAAATCAGAAAGCTGTCAAAACATTAACAAGAGGGGCTGGGCTCGGCTCAGTGTTTCATGTCCTGCCTCGTAAGTGCAAGGGCCCGAGTTTGACCCCTGGTACAAAAAA